TCAGAAGTTGGTTGCAGAACCACCCTGTGGAGGTTCCTCCTGGGCATCAGTTGCCACATGCGGGGTGTAGCACGTGTTGATCATTGCACCAACAAGAAAAAGGAGGAGGAGACCACCAAATATACAACTCATAAGTAACGAGCAGAAGCTGAGGAAGAAGACCAAACGGTGCTAGGAAGCAGAATAAATGGTGCTAGGAAGAAGAAGAAGACCACCTGTATATACAAATCATACCTAAGCAGCAGCAGCAGCAGCCGCAGCAGCAGAAGAAGTGGTGCTATGATTCTTGAAGCTAGGTGCTTTTCCTTTTTCCTGTACCCTGTGGACCCTTTTACAAGCATTTTTCAGGTGGTGTCACAATGCGTGGTGTGGCAGGGGGTGATCATGGCACACTGCTCCAAGAAGAAAAAGGAGTCGGAGGGAGGACCACCAAATATACAAATCATCTATGCTGTCCCCGGGTGGCCTGGCTTGGGGAAGGTCCTCCGGGTACCCTCCTGGGCTGCCCGGGGCGGTAGGGCCGGGCAGGGTCCTGGGCAGTCCCAGTGTATAATATTTTTAAAAAAGCAGAAAATACAAAAATCCCAAAAAATCCAAAAAGAAACTATGTTGTGTAAAATTGCAATACAAACAACTTTTGGCTGAGGGTCCCCTCAAATTTCGTGATTTACTTTTTAGATAAAAATAAATGAGGAAAGATGAGGTAAAATATAGTCTGATACAGGCCAAGTGGGTGACCCATCACCTTTAACCCCCTTTTAACCCCACTAGTCACTGATCATAATTTATAACCCTCCAAAGCCCTCTGGGTGACCCATCATTGAAATGGACGGTAAGGACGGATTCTGACTGCTCAGGCCAAGTGCAGTCTTGTCCTGAAGTGAGTTGTTTTTTTTCGGGATCCTTGCCTTTTTTTTCGACCTTTTCCTGGTTTTGCCGGGCGACCCCACCCCTGCCCAGCTGCCCCGGGCGTGCTTGGCCGGACGACAGCCCAACATAGCAAATCATACCTAAATATCAGCAGAACAAGCAGCAGAAGCAACAGATGCAGCAGCAGCAGCAGCTGAAGAAGAAGAAAAGTAAGTTGTGTCAAGAAGAAGAAGAAGAAGAAGAAGAAGAAGAAGAAGAAGAAGGACAAAAAGAAGAACGAGGAGAGCACCAAATATACAAATCATGCCTAAGTAGCAGCAGCGGCAGAAGAACAAGAGGACCAAATATACAAGTCGTACCTAAGCAGCAGCAGCAGCAGAGAAGAAGAAGAAGAATAAGTAGTGCCAAGACAAAGAAGAAGAAGAAGAAGAGAAGAAGAACAAGGACAAAAAGAACCAGGTGAGCACCAAATATACAAATCGTACCCAAGTAGCAGCCGCAGCACCACCAGAAGAAGAAGAAGAAGAAGAAGAAGAAGAAGAAGAAGAAGAAGGAGAAGAAGAAGGAGAAGAAGAAGAAGTGCTATGGTGCCTGAAGAAGAAGAAGAAGAAGAAGAAGCGATGCTGTGATGCCCAAAGTTGGGTGCTTTTCCTTTCCCCTGTACCCTGTGGACCCTTGGGTTAAGTCCATCGATTATGACTTAGATGAACAAAATGACGGGGATCCATAAGCCTGTGTTTGAAGGTCTCATTTGTCGATGCAACCATGAGCAGCGTATGAAAAGAACTGACTATTTGGAGGGTAGAGACTCGCCTCTGACATGTCTCCCTACCACCCATGTGAGACAAGAAAGGGGGAGGTTAGTCATGATGCCGGTCATTGCTCGAGCCTCGCATGTTAAACTCTTAAAAGGGAATATGAGAACACATCTTTTGATTCTCGGTCCTTGCTAATGACAGGAGGGATGTGCTTGGGGTGTTGGTATTGTGTGTGCAGGAGGAGGTCAGATTTGTCATATGCCCAGAGCTGATAGCTGGTATGCTTTTTCTGTCCGCAATGGCTCCCAATGAAGCAATTGAGATCGTTGGTGCTGAACGTTTCAGCCGATACACAGGGTGAGGACATCATTGCCAGGTTTGTCCCACTCGGTAGTCACCCACGCAGAGTGTGTGGTATCAAGATGGTATTACCCATGTTGCGAAGGAAATAGCCATCACTGTCAAGAATAAGCAAAAGGATATTAGTAATCATAGTTGTTGTGACATTTTACGAGTCCGATTGTCAGAGTTTGCTTTGAATTTGGACTCTATCGGTGTCTATCGGGCCATCAATTAAGCTTGCAATAAGCAGTGCTGGGCAGGCTCCTGGCTGAGTGTGTTCGGCATGTATGGGCCGACAGGCAGGGGTCACCTGCCCGAGGGAGCTGGCCAGGTCAAAAACAGGGCAAGGATTCAAAAAAGAAATTCTGACTTCAGGCCAGGATTGTGCATGGCCTAAGCAGTCAGAATGCAGCCTTACCTTCCAATTCAGTAACCCATGGGGGTTTAGGGGTATGAACAGGGTTTCGAAAAGTAGTATACATACTATACAACTTTTTTTCTTTTTTTTGAAGAAATAGCATGATTTCATTATATGAGCACAAGGAGGCCGGGAATCCCTCCACATTTCAACCCGGAGTACTGGAGCCGATATCCAGCTTAGGCTCATACTGGAAAACGGCTCCAGTGTCCCATGCTTTGAAGTCCCACCATGCTATTCAGAAAAAAATATAGAAGCTGGAGTAACAAACTATGAACAGCGAAAAGGAGAAAGAAACTGTCAACAGAAGCAGACAAAAATCTCTCTACTCCTATTGTAGCCCTCCCTGAGCCCCCGTTTATTGTCCTATCCGCCCTTCTCAAGTTTTCCAGTCCTAAACCCTCAAATCCTACTCTCGCTCCTATACCCTAAACCCTACTCTAGCCCCTACCCTTATAAGTTATAAACTTATAACCCCTTTTAGCCATACCCCCGTTTTCCCATCCAGGTAATGTCCCCCATTCTTCTGTGTGCCCTGTCCCCCTTGTGTCATTGCTGAAGTTTACTCGAGTCTGCCACACTTTTTTGTTTTTCTCTCCCCTTTTCTGCCCGTTCCGTCCTCTGTCTCTGCCTACTCTCCCGCTTGTGGTTGTGCTGGTTGGTGGGCTGTTGGGTTCGCCGTGTCTCACCATTTCCACTGGAGCTTGTTGCCCTGTAGTTTTCGGCCACTTTCCCCTTCCCCGTAACGTTGTTGATAGATTCTTCCTTCATTTGCTGGGCCTTATCTGGGGAGCTAGTCATGCGCTTGCGTGTCAAGTCCCATTGTGCTGTGATGTCTGTCCTTAGCATAGTCCTGAGCTCCACCTTTGCCTCTTCCTTATGCCTCTGTTTCCCCCCTATTGTTGCTTGGCATCTGCTCTTCCAGATGGTCCACATTGCGTATTGCCACAGTTTTTGAAAGCTGTCATGCTGGAATTTCGTCCATTTGTGTGGCGTCTGTATTCCCTGTAGTAAGGTGGTGTCCTTGTCGGGAATGTATCGATGGCGACTTTCTGCCCCAAGGTCCTGACTTCCTTCCATATTTGTTGGGATTCTTTGCAGTCCAGTAAGCAATGTCTGGCTGTTTCCCTCCGTCCCTCCTGATAGACCTTGCAGAGTTCGTTTTGTTGACTACGTTTGTCCTGCCGCCTTCTGGTACTCAGCCACACGTTCACCAGCAGTGCTATATATATATATATTGTAGTGATGTGACAATATATATATATGCATAGCCACTGCATGCTTCTGACCTTTCCCAGTCTGATAGCTCCCAATTTTGCCCAAGGGAATTCTTGAAGGGATGGTTCTGCGTGATGAGTAAATCTTGGGCCAAGAGGAGCAGACACGCCCGAACCTCTGACACCGGCAACGACCAAGAAGATCAAGACGACTACTGGAGACAGCTCCTACGGCTGTGGGAGGACATCTTTCCGGCGAAAGCTTACAAGCCCAGAACGTGGGAAGAGGTGCTACGACAGCCACTATTCTGGAACCATTAGCTGAACGATGAACAGGCGAAACCAAGAACAGCGAAGGACTCGAGATGGGGAAGTTGGGTGGAACATGGAGTGTGGCAGGTGGAGTGCGTATGGGCGGAGGCAGAAAAGAGACGGAACATGGCAAAGGAGCTAAAGAACGATCTAAAGGGTAGCCACAAACTGCAGGAAAACCTCAACGACATACTAATCTCTGTCCCAGACGAATGGGTAGCTCTGCTGCGTAAGGACGCGGAATGGAAAGGAGGAGACTGGGCAACATGGGTGGAGGAGACAGACCCAACTGTGGCCTTTAGCATATTGGGAGAAGAAGGACCGCAGGGGAACTTGTTAAACACAGACATGTATGTGATTGCAGGCAACAACGAGCCTGCTGATTAAGGAGTCCAGGGTGCTGGTCACATTAAAAAAGGCAAAGGTCAGGAAGATAAGGGAGGTGGACTCCGTGAAGACAGACGAGTTTACCATCTATTGTCCAACAGTCCTGATTGAAGATCTAGCGATCGATCCGGTGGAGTGGGTATGGAATCTGCGAGGAACGGCCCAAAGTGTGGCACTGGGGGCAAACATCCCCCACTACACCACGGATGGGCTATAGGCTAAGGAAGCGCTCACAAGCACCGGACGACCAGCTGCAGCAAAGATGGCAAAAGCAAATGGTAGTATACAATTCTTGTTTTGCATTTTTGATTTTTGTTTTTCTGAGAAAAGCGGAGGCTTTCCGTATTATCAAGGCTGGAAACCAGGCCCAGCGTCCCTTACATCAGGGGTACCCACTGAACGCATCTCCCCAATGTGCCCGAGAGATTCTGAGACAAAGACGTTCATTGCTTCCCTTCCGGAAGGATTTACCGCTGCTCCACCCCTGATTATAAACCAAAACCTTAAACTTACCTTGCCTAGAGTGATCTCGACGGCATCTATTGCTTCCTTTTGGAAGGATTAATTGCCAGATCCTGAGTTAACGTCTTGTTTCACCTAATCCTCCTGTGCTAATTGCTCTCACTTATAATTCCTCTTGCTTGTCCGTCCTATTATAATAACTTATCTTTGACTTCCTCATCCACTCCAACACGGTTTCCTTTACCTTGTCCGTTACGCCTACCTTTTCCCTATGCAGGTTTCCTACTTTCTTGCCCACTCACGCTCTTTTCCCTGCCTGTTTGTTCCCCCTTGCACATTCCTACCCGTCCCTCCTTATGTCCCAGTGAGGAGGCTGTCCCTGTACTCCTTGGACTTCCCGCTTTCCTTTTTTCCCCTCCTTCCCTCACGGTGTATCCATGTCGTTGGCCGGTCCCTCATGCCCTGAGCTATCGATGCTGATGGAATCTGCTGGTCTACAAGCCTCGGCCCCCAAGCCCGTAAACTCAACGAACCCGACAGTCGGAGTTGGTCATTTATCTGGGCAACTATTCACGCATTGATCCACCCAAGACTTAGAACCAAGATGCTGAAAGGTGCCTGCACCCCTACTACACCTAGCCACTTGACGTCTTAGGTAACGGCACAACCACTACTCCGACCTGGAGCCAACATACCCTCACACTCTTCTCTCTAGCCCCTGGTAACAGACCAATGGTTCAACACAACCCTCCACAAACCCAGAAAGACCCCATGGTAGCCCCAAAGCTGACACGCTCCGGGTCTGACTGTGACACCCCAACCCTGACGTCACCTGGTGTGCGAATGGTGTGCATCAATCTAACGCCCATCTAGCTGCTCAGTGCCAACTTGAGGGATCTAAGATTTGAACACATGACCTGATTCCACATTTGCTGTTGGTGCTCTACCAACTGACTAATTTTCTTTCAGTGTTAGCCTGTTAGGTGAAAACTTTGCACTGCAAACCTGAGTGAGGACGCCGCCCGGCCGGTTGGACCCGGGGGGGGCGCCCAGGTAAACCGGGCGGGACAAAAAACCACCCATATATATATATATTTTGAAACCGGGGTCGTTCTGCGCTCGGCGAGAGGACCCCGAATCTGCAATAAAATTTTGGTTTTGGTGGGGGGGTGGGGGGGGCGGGGT